TTATGATTTTATGTACTCTTAGAGGCTTGTAGACAGATATCAGGTGTATGGATACTTGTATGGCCTTGTCGGCCTATGTTTCGAGTTTACTAATGGTCATGTCGGCCTTATAGGCCCGTATGTCACATATATTAGTTTGTATATCATGTTGGGTCTTCATATGTTGAGTATTCTCTTATGTTTTATTCTTGTTATCTCATGACGTGTTTTCTGGCTCATTTACTCATGATAATATGATAAGAAAGATATGTTGCATTGGTACTCGGTTGAATAAGGCACCGGGTGCCTGTCGCGGCCCTTCGGTTTAGGTCGTGACACAAACGTTACACCCTATATTTTCGTGCATGAAAACACGCCATAAATAAATTAAGGGAAGCTCGAAAATGAGATGTTACATCCCGCATTTTCGTACGATAAAATTTTGTCCTAAGTTAATCGACGTAAGTTCGGGAATGAGATTATAGTGAGACTATAAGTATTATGCTATTTCAAACAAGTGATGAGTAAATTCGTGAAGGTGATAGGGTAAGCAGATCGAAGGAAATGAATTTCGTCGAGGTTTGCCATTTTGGAAAAAAAATATGGCCCGAGCTAAAATACCCAGTATTTATGGACTAGTACCATACAAGGTACCACATGGTCATGATAGTAAGGTGTATAAGGAATGTGAAAAGTGAGTAATATTTTAAGTAAGTGGTAATAATTCTCAATTTTATGGGTAATTGATTAATCATCGGGTAACGGGACATTATCTAATTAATTAGAGAATATATTTGGATAAGATTAAACCTCACGCTCCCATAACGTGGCAGCCAAAGCTTTATGAAAATGTGACTCTTAAAACCATAGAATAGGTGGCATTAAGAAAGCCTTTTTGTAGCTTAGTCACTAGGAAAGTGGGGCTCATATCTTTGTATGAGAAATAATAAACTAAAGAGTCTTAAACTTAAGACTCTTAAAGAACGTGAGTCTAGTAACTCAAGTTATTATTCAGATTTAAATTTCTTTATCATATATAACTTAAAGAGTTTTATGACTCTTAAAGAACGTGAGTCTTATAACGTTACTTGGTTCATTTAATATGTTTTTGCATATATCATATAAGCGACGCAAGACCTTCAAAAATTCAAATCAAAGTGAGATTTTGCAATTATAATGGAGTATGGTGCAATCTTTCTCAAGGATATCATACGAATTTTTCTCTATTCCGATCCGCCATTGCGTGTTATCGTAATTGACGTGTGTTAAAGGGATTGTCAAGAGAAATGGCTCAGGTATGTTAAGGATATCCTTTCTTTCTTTTGGCATGATCCATACGATACAAACGAAACGTGCAAATGCATAAATTCCACAAATGACTCTATTCATAGAAGTATTAGAGGTATCTATGCTCTTAAATTTCCAAGTGTCATAATATTTTATCATCTATTCATGAGTCTCAGAAAGATACAAAGTTGAAAATAGTTTACTTTATGATATTACTCAAAAGCAAAATGGTCTTATGACATCCCCAAAGATTCTATTAACGTACTTTTCATGTATTGCATCCATGTACATTGACTCTGACCAGATGGCGTTATATACGCATATATATATGTATGTATATATATGTACATGGGATATTACGGCGTTATATACACACCACCACCTGATTAACTGGTATACGTTGGTGATTTTGCCTACAGTGGCCAAGATGATATGATGGGATGCCCTCAGAGGCTGATGATGTTATGAGATATGTACCTATGCACGGCATGACATTCATACGCATATGCATGATACTATAATTATTTCATGATTTACAAAGTTTTCAAAGTTACAAGTGGATTCATTTACTCTATATTTCCTCCATGTCTGTTATGTGTTTATTTATGTACCTTACATACTCAATACATCATTCGTACTAACATCCATTTTGCTCGGGAATGCGGCGTTTCATGCCCGCAAGTCCTGATAGACAGGTCGAGAGCCCTTCAAGTAGGCTATCAGCTCAGCGGAAGATGTTGGTGCGCTCCAATTGCTTCGGAGTTGCTTGTTTGGTTGGTATAATTTAGACGTGTATTGTTTGGTATGGCGGGACTCTGTCCTGACCTTTATGAAAATTTCACATTCTTAGAGGCTTGTAGACAGATGTCATGTATGTAAGATA